AGGACTAGGATCCCCTGGAGATGGAGTTACAGGTGGCTGTAAGCCCTGGCCATGGGGGCTGGGAACTAAACTCACTCATCTGGAAGAGCAGGCAAGTGTTTACGAGCATCTCTCTGACCTCCTGTTCTTGGTCATTTTTATGGGCACTTTTTTCACACTTACTTTCACATCATCTCAGAAGTACTTGTCTGCTCTTCTATCTATCTCTTCCAGCTTGAGTGTGTGATGTTGCCCCACAAGCTCAGGTATTTGAATGCTTAATTCCCAGCATTGGTCCCAGTGCTGCTTTAGAAGGCTGTGGAACTGAGGAGGTAGGATCTAGCTGGAGGAAGTGGTTCACTGGTGGGCAAATCGGAGGGTTATAGTTCAAGCTGGCCGTCCACCAGCTCTCTACTGCTCTTTGGTCCACTGAGATATGAGTAAGCCACATGCTACATTCTCCACTGCCATAACTGGAAGCCACCATGAATCCCTTCATGCCTTCTCCATCATGATGGACTGTAGCCTTCTGCATCATAATGGCACTATATCCTTCTCCATCATGATGGACTGTATCCTTCTCCATCCAGACTGTATCCTTCTCCATCATGATGGACTGTATCCTCTCTAACTATAGGCTAAAAGCAAGCCTCCCCTAAGCTGCTTCTTTTGGGCATTTCATCACAGTGACAAGGACAGAAACTAAAGCAGCATTGCACACAGCCAGGTAGACCTAACTTCTCTGTGCCAGGTATTTTGTTACAGCGACTGAAAGCTAACTAATATAGCCACCTTTCCCTATACACTTCTTATGAAGAGGCTCTTAAAAAAAGAAACTAAAATTAGAAGTCATTCAGTTCCCAGTAAGGCCACAGCTAATTTCACTATGCTCAAAACCCTTCCTATCTGTAGAAGTTCTCAGTATCAAATAAAGTCAACCATGTTGAACCCTAACAAGATGGCACTGAGAGGCCATGAAAAGGAGCCCTCTCTCATACACATGTGTCTTTGACGGAACCTATGCAAAGAACTCCTCCTCAGAGCTGCAGTATCCAAGGTGGCTAGCACAAGGATACTGACTAACTGTGACTGTCTCTGCTAACGCCACCTCCTGCAGCCACCCTTGGAAGCAATGGCATTTGTCTTAAGGTAGCTTGGGTGGACTTCTTTTTGTCTTTTGTCCCCTTAGGTGTGCCTGCTCCACCAGAGCAGTGCATCCAGGATTTCAGTCCCCTGCTCCTCCCATGTAAGTGCTATGCAGTGGAGAGTCAGTCTCTCACACGTGCATTTGGGGTTGATATACCTTCCTCATGTCCAAGGTCAAACCTCTTGTGTCACCCGGTATCACCACATTCTCTCCTACATGGTTCTGTTCATCCCTCTGACTTCAGCTCAAAGTCCCTTCTCTGTCTCCAAACCTTCCCGCGGCATCCCCCAGGGTGTGCCAACAGCAAAATCCTTCAGAACCCCTTTCTGGACATTTTCTTCATTGTCTTTCTTAGAAGTTAGACTACAGCCCTAACTGGAAACCGAAACCTGTTTTCCCTAGAGCATTCTTAAGAAGCAGCTGTTTTCTACCCCCTCCCACGCCCCACATACCACAGAGCCCAGGGGCAGAGTGTCTTTCATGGCCCTCATTGCTGCTGACAGGCAGTTCTTCTCCAGCTGAAAAACCCCAGTTCTTCTGAAAACCCACACCCTCAAATTCCACCACCCACTCACCCCTGAGGCAGTCATCTGCCAGCCTCCTCTTCCTGGTTCACAGCAGACATTAGTGTCTGGCTCATGAGCTAGCTCCCTTTCCATCCCGCTCTTTCCGACATTCTTTGTAGCTTAGTGGCCACCTAAAATGTGTGCCAGGAGATTAGTCTCCTATAGTCTAGTCTCCTCACCTCCACTGCTCTCTCCTCCTCCTCCTCGACCCACCTCAACCACCACCACCACCACCACCACCACCACCACCTCCTGTAATCCTACCCAGTCAATCTCATGCTCAGGAAGCAATGTCTACAAACATGCCTAGCATCGCTAGCTCTGGCCATCCATGCCCTCCCAAAGAACCCACAATGACTCTTCAGCCTCACGGGTGCCTCCTATTGAAAAGGCCCTAGCACCATTTCTCTAGCCCCCATTTCTTGTCAAAGAAATGGCATGGAAAAGATGACCCACACCAAATGACTTGAGTAGAGTTTCATGAAGGGCTTATTCACACAGTAGACCAAGGGACCCAGAAGAGATGATGGAGTGTTCAGAAACAAGGCACATGGTACACCATTGCCACCAACAGCCTGAACGGGAGAGGAGGAGGTCACTGGACTCCAGGAAGAACTGAGTAAGGGGGATTTGACAAGAGAATCATCCTGGAAGCACAGTAAGAGGAGGACATATGGAAGGAAAGTACATATCCCACTCCTTTTGACTTCCAGTTCTACCCAGCTGGAGGCCAAGAGCCCTGGTGATGCAGTCTACAAATGTTCGTCTTTCACCACAGTGAACATTGTGAGGTCATGGAAGTGGGACATGGTGTTAAAAACTATGGCCACTCCTCTGCGGCCCTTGCTTTGTCCCCGTCCTCATCTGCATACATATTTAAATCCTTGCTCCGGTCGCACCAGCCTGACAAAAACATTCCTACCTCCTCTACACCTGTATTCAGGCAGGAAAGTGTGGCTGCAGAAAAATTATGTGTATCTGCTTATGAGTTCACTTTCATTTCATGTCCAAAAATCTCAAGAAGGCCCAGCTGTCTGATTATGTTCCTCTAATCCACTCACCCTCCCATGAGTTTTCCAGTTCTCTTCCCAAATACCATCACATTGACTCTGGGCCTAGTACTTTTCCTGAGAAAACAGAAACCATCAAGGAAAGAAAAGCATTGTTAAGTACTGGCACATCCTTGAGCATGCTCAGTTAAGAAGTACATTTCCAAGCCCAGCAGTGGTGGCCCATGCCTTTAATCCCAGCACTCAGAAGGTAGAGGCGGATGCTAGAGGTCAGCCTTGTCTACAGAGAGAGTTCCAGGATAGTCAGGGCTACACAGAGAAACCCTGTCTTGGAAAAAAAGTACATTTCTGAGAATGCTCAGCTTAAGGTCATACTTGAAGACTGATGCATATTTTGACATGCTTTGCTCCAGGTCATAGAGCATGTTTGTAAGGATGTTAACATTTTAGGCAGGAATGCTTCTGGGCATAGTCGGCTTGCACTGTAATGTTTTAGCTGAAAATAAACAACACTGATATAGAAGTCTGTCCATGATGGCTCCTGCCTCGCACAGCAGGTGGTAGCAAAGATGGTTAATAGTTCGAAAGAACAAGCATCAGCTTTAAAACCAATGTCAGTAGAATGGCCACCCTTTCACTTTGTACTGACCCTTAGAGAGCGCCATCCTGTTAGCAATGACTTATGATAACCATCACTGTCAACTTGCAGAGACTAGGGGTCAACCAAGGAGACACATCTCCAAGGCCATCTCAGGGAGTTTTCAGAGTTTAGCTGAGGGAAGACCTACCTTGATGTGGGTGGCACCAATCATGAGGCTGGGATCCCAGATGAAATAAAAGGGACAAGAGGGGAGCCAGCAGCACACCAGCATCTGCCTCTCTCTGCTTATTGCCTGTGGACACGACAGGACCGGCCACCTCAAGTTCCCACAGCCACACACCTTCCTTGTCGTGATGGACTCTGTCTTCTCAACTCAGGTGCCTAAACAACCCCTTCCCTCCAAAAGCTTTTGTCAGGTATTCTATCACAGAGATGACAAAAGTAAAAAGCTACAGAAAACCTGCCAAGAAGTAGGCTGTGGTCGGGGCTGCTGACGGCCTGTTTGTAAGCCTTTGGGACTGGTGTGAGAGAGAAAATTATGGTACGGACCTGTGGTTCTCAACCTGTGGGCTCGACCCCACTGGGAGGTCAAATGACCCTTTCACAGGGGTCACATATCAGATATCCTGCACATCAGATATTTACATAAAGATTCATAACAGCAGCAAAACTACAGTTATAAAGTAACAATGAAAATAATTGTATGGTTGGGGATCACCACACATGAGGAATTGTATTAAAGGGTCACAGCATTAGGAAGGTTGAGAACCACTGCTCCACAGTGTTGTAAACAGAGCTAAATGGGATATGTTGATGGGAGTGTGGGAGAGTAGGTCAGAATGCCAACAGAAAGTTTAGACACTAAGATTCTGGCTCATAAGGCTTCAGAGAGTAACAAGGACTGTATTGGAAACTGGGCTAGAGGCTATTCATGCATGACACTCTGGCAAGGAATATGATTGCAGCCTGCCTGTGTCCTGAGAACTCAAATGAGACTGAATTCAAGTGGTCAGCCCTGAGATCGTATACATGCAGCTAACATTATACAGACTGAGCAGGTTATATTTATGTATTTAGGAATACATATATGTATACAACGAAAGAAAAGAGGCCAGGACTTTAAGAGACAGAGCAGAGGGCTTGGAGGGAATAAAGGGAATAGAGGAAATTATGTAATTATGTTTAAAAAATGAAAAAAATTACTTAAAAAGTAATGAACAAATTTGTTTGGCAGAAGAAATTCCAAGACAGCATAGGTCTCAGGTTATGTATGATATAGCTACGGTTCACTACTTAAAAAAAAAAAAGATGTATTTTTAAGTGTGTGTGTGTGTGTGTGTGTGTGTGTGTGTGTACATGCATTTGAGTGCAAGCACCTGCCAAGGCAAAAGGCAGAGTTACGGGTGGTTAGAAGCCGCCTGCTGTGGGGATGGTACCTGGACTCAGCTCTCCTAAAAGAGCAGTCCAGTTCTTAACTGCTGAGTCATTTCTCCAGCCAGCTCACTGCTTTTATTCACGTTTTCTTTAAGAAAAGGCAGCAAGCAGAGCCAGAAGGTGGGAGGGTACTGTGGGGAGCGGCAGGGGGAAGGGGAGTACAATTTGACAAAAAAAGGAGTATCTTAGTTACTTTTCTATTGTCGTGATAAAACACCATGACCAAGGCAACTTATAAAAGAATGTGTTTAATCTGGACTTACGTTTTCAGAGGGTGAGAGTCCATGATGGCATGGCAGCAGGAACAGCTGAGGTCTTACTTCTTGATGAGAAAGTAGGAGACAGAGAATGAATCACTGGAGATGACAGCGCATGTCTTTTGAAACCCCAAAGCCCATTCCCTGTAACACACCTCCTCCAATGAAGCCACACCTCTAACCCTTCCCAAACAGTTCCACCAAACAGGGACCAACATATGATGAGCCTACAGAGGTCATTCTCATTTAATCCACCACAAGGAGCAGGAACACGTTTAAAGTTGCACACAAGGTAGGTGCCAGAAAAGGAGCTATAATAGCTGGCATGGTGCTGTGGGCTGATCTCAACTGTCTACTTGATAAACTCTGGAATCACTGGGGAGATTGCGCTTCTGAGCATGCCTTTGTAGGAGTTATCTTGATCAGGCTGTGGGAAGACACACCTACTGGGGGTGGCACACATTCCCTGAACTGTGTGAAAAGAAGAAAGTGAGCTGAGCACAGGCATTAATCTTTCTCTGTTTCTTGGATATTTGTTTTTTGTTTGTTTGTTTGGTTGGTTGCTTTGGTTCTGGTTTTTTGAGACAGAGTTTCTCTGTGTAGCCCTGGCTGTCTTGGAACTCACTATGTGGACGAGGCTGGCCTCGAACTCACAGAGATTCACCTGCCTCTGCCTCTGCCTCCCCAGTGCTGGGATCAAAGGTGTACGTCACCACCGCCCAGTGACTGTGGATGTTTGTAACCAGCTTCAAGCTCCTGCCACTGTGAGTTCCCCATCATGAGAGACTGCAACCTCAAACTGCAAGCCATAGCCCACCCTTCCTTCCTTCCTTAAGGTGCTTTAGTCAGAGTGTTTTATCACAGCAACAAAACAATCAACTAAGACAGGTGCTCTGGAGCAGGGCCACCCATGGAAGCTCCAACTTGTAAAACTGCTCATCAATGTGAAAGGAAAGAGAATGGAAACAACAGTTAAAGGAGCCCCTGCTTGAAAACAAGCACCCAGAGAAATGTTTCCAGTGTTCAGTCACCACGGTGGAAAGAGGCCAGCAGTACTATAGTAGAAGGTGCCAGAGCCAGAGCACAGCTTAAGCTGGCAAAGGAACTCGGCAGCATAGTCACGGGGTGCTACTTTTGCAATTGTGCAAAATTCAAGAATTACAGGGTCATAAGGGCTTGCTTGCATCAAGGTTCCAAAAGAGTGGCCAAGAACAGGCAATGTGTGGCGGGCTTGGATTTCCTGCCAGGACTCCTTGAGAGGAGGCAGAAGTAGGCAGATGTCTGTGAATTCAAAGGCATCCAGAGCAGCATAAGTGAGATCCCGTCTAAAAGCAAAACCACTTGACAAGATAATGCCAAACCTTAGGAGACACAATGAAAAGATTCCATATTCCTTTGGAACACTGGTCTAGTGGAAAGGCAGATTTTCAATCAGAATACAGCATGCCACTTCATAAAAACGAGTATGCTAACCAGCTTTCTGTCATTGTAGCAAACAGATGGCAGAAACAACTTCACCTCCATTCCAGTTTCAGAAGTTCCAGTCCGTCCGTGGTTGCTTGGCCTCATCACATCTGCCTCGTGGTGATGTGGGACACAGGGGATGGGGTGGAGCAAAGCCACTTATCTCAGGAGAGAGAGGACAGGAAGAGAAGGAAAAAGAGGGAGAGGGACAGACTGAGACCTGGAGGGAAAGGAAGCAGGGACTTAGGAAGGGCAGCCCCATGCTCTCCACCAGCCAGGCTTGGTGGCTCACGCCTATAATCAGCATTCAGGAGGATAAGGCAGGAAGGCTGCAGTGGCTTTGAGGTCAGTCAAGGCTATAGAGTTTGAGGTCAACTTGTGTTAAAGAGTGAGACCCAGTCTAAACTACAAAACAAAAGTCACAAAAATAGGAATCTCCCCATGACATACTTCCTCCAACCAGGCCTCCCCTCTCAGAGTTTCTATTGCCTCCTAATAGCCCCGGCAGCCCTGGGTGAAACTTTTAGCACATAGCTTTAAAGGGCATTTATCATCGACACCAGAACATTGGTAATCTGCATAAGGTTACTTTCAAAGATAACATATATTCTAAAATTAAGTTATGGTGACAGTTGTGCAATTCTGTAAATATACAATAAACCAAACAGATTATACACCCCAAATAAGTGACTTCTATAACTTTTATATCCAAGCTCCTTTAGAATACAGCTGAATCAGAAGATAAGTTTAGTTACGTCAGCCACGAAATCTGTGAAAGTTTTTCAAAAATGTCACTCATCAGCTAGACTTGAAGGCACCACAAACTCTGCTAGGTAGAAAAGACAAGCAAATGTTCCAGACAAAGAGAGGAGCCCACACAAAGGTAGAAGGGAGCTTGGGAAAGCATGCCATGGCTTCTTAGTATGAGTATTCAGCAATGCAGGTCAAAGAGACAGGGGTCACAGGGTGTGAAGGACAAGACCAAGCCTGTTTGGTAGGCAGGACCAGTCATGAAGGGAGATTTAGTCAAGCTGGCTTTCCATGAGGAAAAGGCGGAAACAGTGAAGAATAGTGCTTTCTCAAAGAACATTCTAGAGGGGGAAAAATTGAAAGGTGGGAATCACTGGAGGGAAGTGAAACTCAGAAAGGAAAATAATAATAACTAAGTCTAGTGGCCTCTCTACTAAGCACTTCCCTTGAAGGCAGCACCTTTAATTGCTAGAGCGAGCGCCACCATCCTTCCAACAGGAAATTCACCTGCTTTGTTTCCTCTGCGGGTCTTGGGGAAATGCAGCTTCCTCATGCCCTGGTCCTTGTTTTTCTCCGGTGCTTCAGCTCCATTTAACGTTTCGCCTTCAAAATCCTTTTTAAAGATTCTCTCTCTGCACGAGAATGAAAGCCCGTAAGAATAAGTTAGTTTGAAATTTTCCTTCAGTTCCAAATCCTCAGTTGAGTATTTGGTACTGGGTCGACTCCCAATCCACACTTTTTGAGTAAATGGATACATCAATAAGGAAGTTGAGTCTCGTTGAAGTAACTTATCTGTGAAAATGCAGATAATAAATTGAGCATTGATTCAACAACCACCTTTTAAAAGCACTATGAATACACCAGAGATGTAATATTCTAGGTCAGGTCCCCTCCTGGGACTTCTGAGAGTGGCAATAGGGGAGACTGAATTGCCTTGGTTTAGTGCTGGAATGGATGTCGAAGGATAATAAAAAGATGCAACATAAATTGATTTTGGCTTCTAGATTGGGTAAGTAGTGCAGCTTTTCAGGAAAAATAAAGACCCCGGGTTCAACAGAGGCAGGAAAGAGGAGAATGTGGCCAGGAATCTTTTTTTTCTCACAATTTCCTAAATAGCATAAATACCATGTAACAAGTAAATGTAAACTCCAGGTGGAGTGGAGGATGGAAAGTCACAAAAGAGCTTGAGGCAAGCAAGAGTTTAAACCCGGTCTTTTTTTTTTCTTTCTACTTCGAAACAAGATGTTGCTATGTAGCCCTGGATGGTAGTAAACTCACAGAGCTTCTCCTGCCTCAGCCTCGCAAACCATGGGATTACAGCAGCCAGCCACAACATCTGAAGGCAGATGCTCACACTATCGAAAAACCCTTAAATGGGCAGGCTACTTCGTTTTTCCAGGTTTTCTGGGCAGTGACTGTCACTTACACAACTGCCCATCCGTGCGGAAGGACGTGGTAGCGCCACGGCCAGGGTGGGCCAGGAAGGCGCGAAGGCACCCCGGCGGCGGTGCACACTAGGGCACGCGACCGCAGGGACCCTTCCCAGGAAGCTGGCGCGCGCTCCAAACGACTCCCAACCCCCGGCCGGGCGCGCCACCCTGGTCTCGTGACCTCCAGCCCACAGGGGGCGCTGTGGGCCGCCGGGCGCGGCCACGGCGCGAGCGCGCGGCCTCTCCCTGGTGCGCATGCTCGCCTCCTGCAGGCTGGCTTTTTTTTTTTTTTTTTTTTTTTTTTTTTTTTTTTTTTTCCGGGCCGCCCCGGCGGCTGCGTACTGGCTGTGGGATGGGAAGTGAAGCCCCAGCGAGCGGCTGCGGCGGGGCTGTGCGGAGCAGCCAGCGGGAGGCGGCGGCGGCGCGGCAGTGAGCAGCCGAGAGCGCGGAGCCCGGAGGAGGGGAGCACCTGCAGGTCCAGGCGGCGGCTCCACCATGGCGATTCGCAAGAAGAGCAACAAGAACCCGCCGCTGCTGAGCCACGAATTCGTGCTGCAGAATCACGCGGACATCGTCTCCTGCCTGGCGATGCTCTTCCTGCTGGGGCTCATGTTCGAGGTGAGCCCTCCGTCCCGGTCCCCCCCGATCCCCGGCCGAGGCAGGCGACCCCAGAGGAACCGACTAGCGCCGCGCAAGCCCCCGCAACGCCCCGCGGCCCTGCGGCCCCGGCCCGGCCCGCCGCCCCCTCCCGCGCCGCGCAGTTCCTGCTTCCCGCGAAGGGTTACGTGGCAGACGGCGAGGGGCCGACGGGGGCGGCGGGCGCGGTCGTGGCGCTGGCCCTGCGCGGTGGGCGGACCCGGGGCCGGGGCAGCAGGGCCGGGTGACTGACAGGGACCCCCCGACCCACCCCGGCGGCTGCCGCCTGCGCGGAGGGCGGGGACGGGGTGCCCAACACCCGGTGGCCCCCCCTCGCCCCGCCGACGGCCACTCACCCAACTTTCTGCCTTGCCTCTCGGTTCCCGGAGGATCGGGTCTGATCCCGACCGGGGCTCACAACAGCTGTGTTGAGGAGTTGAGCGCTTTCGTTTCTCGAAGCAGAGGCGACGAGACTGTCAGGAGTGTGTAAATTCTCTTCCCACAGATCTCAGTATTTTGATGACTTATTTAACAGCTGTTGAATGTGGGTAATGAAGTTTGCAAGGTGAACCTGTAACATCCTACGGGTTTTTTCCACCCTCCTCAGTACATCCGCCCACTCCCTCCCCCCCACTTCTAATTTTTTTTTAATCTGTAAGCCTCTGAGTCTCATTAAATATATTGATGATTACCATTTTGTCTCCTCTCCCCTTGGCATGTAACCTAGTGAGGATATTTTATTATTCATTTTTACTAGTTTTTTTTTCTACTGTCGAGAATAGAGCTTAAAAGATGTGAGTGTAAGCGAGAAACTAATGGAATGAGACAGCTGGTGATGAAAGGTGAATACGGTTTGGGTTTTTGTTTTCCATTGAGCCCATTTGGGGTGGGTGGGTGGGTGTGTGTGTGTGTGTGTGTGTGTGTGTGTGTGTGTGTGTGTGTGATCATTAGATAACTTTCTATGTTATGCTTGCTTCTCTTCTAATAGACTTTTCTGAATCTACATATGGGCACTACTTATAGTGTCACATGGAGTTGTAGCCACTACTGAGGGGGTGACAGAGTGAAGAGAAAGTAGAACCACCTTGTCAAAAAGCCTACTAGGCAACCCCAATCGGAGATGTAATTTGTCTCCCCCTAACAAACGAAATAGAAATCACTTGCACAGGCCACACAGCTGTTGTCAATCAGATAATTTGGCTTGTGGAAGTCTGACAGTATTATATGATTGGGTGGTATTTAAAATGCAGGGTTTGGTGTGTGGCCCTGTGGTAAAATGCTTGCTCTAGTTATTGATTGGATATTGAACCCAGGGCTGGTGCAGGTTGGGCAAGAGCTCTAGACCTGACCTGTTACCCCCAGTCCCTGGTGCTTGCTTTCTGTGTGTGTCAGAAGTATGGCTCTGGGCTCAGTATCAGCCACACACATGATGCTAAATGTTTGTGATCTCTGAATTTATGACATTTTTTTCCTGCTATGATATTAAAAGTAATACATCAAAGTAGTTGGTAGATGCTTCTTGTCATGAGTCTGAGGCAGAAGAGTTGTGAATTCAAATCCAGTGTGGACTACATAGTGAAATTCCAAGTCCCACCCTGTCTTAAAAATAATAGTAATAAAAATAAAATGCAATATGTACAGTATGCACAGCAGATTGTTATGACTGGCCATCTCCAACTCCTCATGGTAACAATTCCTAACTTGAGAGGCATAATTTAGGGTTGTGGTGATCTGTAGAACATATTTGCAATGCTTTAAGTGAAGTGAAGTATAAACCAGAAATTTGGACACCTTAGAAACACCTAGAAAGCTCTGTTTTTATGTATTCTTTTGCCACATTTTTTAGGGAAAGTCACTATTATGTTAATTTTTTTTGGAGGGGGGGGAAGACAGCGTCTTTCCGTGTAGCCCTGGCTGTCCTGGAATTTGCAATGTAGACCAGGCTGGCCTCGAACTCACAAGAACCACCTGCTTCTGCCTCTGCCTCCCAAGTGCTGGGATTAAAGGTTTAACAGTAAGTGGATTGTTTTAATACTACGTAGCTTTTAAAATCACTCCAAAAAAGAGTGAGTGTTAAAATGATAAAGAGAACAGAGCGTTTGTGCAAGTCATTCATTTTCCTTAACCATATGCTAAAGATTTAGGTTTTGAAGGCATATTATTTATGCGCAGGAGAAGCTGGCTGGATGGGTTTTTTGCTGTTTGACTTTTAAAATAATTGCCGCTAAATCTCAGTCAATCTAATTATAGAAGTACAGTGTGTTTGCTGAAATAATTGAAAAGCTGCTATTTTACAGAACTGTTAAGCCTTTTGTGGAAGAATATTGAGGAAATATTAGGGGATTTATGGTGAAACCAAGAAGAACTGACATGGTGTGTTACTAGCCAAACAGACAGGCACACAGGAATACTCCACAGTTCTGTATTCTGCAGCTAATTCAAGTTAGGGACTATCAGAACTTAAGTGTCCTTATCTAGAAATGGGTTATTCCAAGACTTAAATTAACTATTATATGTGGTGCCTCACTCAGTGTTTGACTTATAAGAAGGTAGCTATTGTCATTCCTTGGAAATTCATCCAGGTTGGAAAACAGATGGCAGAGTAAAAACAGAAGTCTCTCTCTCTTTCCCTTTCTCTCTCTCTCTCTCTCTCTCTCTCTCTCTCTCTCTCTCTCTCTCTCTCTCTCTCTCTCTCAAGATTGAGGAGGAAATAATCTAAGGGAAATGTTTGATTGTAGGACCTTTTTATTATACAAATCTTGTAAATAATAATTTTTCTTTTTACAGCCATTGTCTATCTACAGAATGCAAATACTGTTAGTGATTTTGTATTTAAAGTAGGAAAAATCGAACAGTATAAAAGGATGTAAGGCTTCTTTGGAAGCTTCCTAGAAGGGATACTATGGAAGAGTAAAGGGGGTTCACAGACTCCTTGAAAGGCTAGACCTTGAAGATGGGCGGTCAGGGACCCATAGGCTATTTGGCTGTTTGTACCTGATAGGTTTGTGGATGTTGATATCTACAGTTACCATGGGACAGTATTAAAGGATCATTTAATTTATTTCTAGGTTTATTGGTACATATGTGCACGCATGCACACACAAGTCTTTGTACCACAGCACATGTGTAGAGATGAGAGAACACCTTTGTATTTGGTTTTAAATTTTTTACATATATGGATGTTTTGCCTGCATGCATGTCTATGTACTACATGTATGCCTGGTGCCCTTGGAGACCAGAAGAGGGTGTCAGATCCCCTGGAATTCAAGTTAGTTGTGAGCTTTGTAGATGCTGGAAATAGAACCTGGATCCTCTGGAAAAACAGCAAATACTATTAACCACTAAGCCATCTATACAGTCCCACAAGTTTTATTTATTCATTTATTCATTTACTATGGATAGGGTTTCTCTGTGTAGCCCTGGCTGTCCTAGAGCTCACTCTGTAGACCAGGCTGGCCTCCAGCTTAAGAGATCTGCCTGCCTCTGCCTCCTGAGTGCTGGGATTAAAGGTGTACACCACCACCCGGCCAGGTTTTATTTGTAAACATAGCTTGCTTTAATGGCATTTCCCCATCTTTTAAAAAACAGTTTTATATAAACAATGGAGAAGTAGAATTTGATAGTCAGAAATTCACATGCCTTTAGGAATCCAGTGTATATAGTAATCATGCCTACCTCTAACAGTACAGAATAGTTCTCCTCTTTATAATATGAACAGACACCAAGCCCCTACTGATAGACACTCAAAAAACCCACTGAAATCTTATGACTTTGCATATGTAGACTTGGATCTCTCATTAGATTGTGGTAACCTATGTAAGATAGATCTAAATTAATTTAACTTTTTTTCTTGTAAGTGGATAGTAGTATAAATGTCCAAAATGGCCATTTTTACTATTTAAGTAATACGCACCAGTGGCATGTTTATACTCTACATCTTCCTGCTAACTTGCTGAAGCAATGCAGGATGGGATGTGAAGTTTAGGAAGCTGGAAGTGGCAACAAAGATGATTTCCACTGGACATTTTTGGTGGGTATAGCCCCTGTTTTTTTTCCCTCTCCTTTTGCCTAATATCCCATGCTAAGCCAGCTGGAAGCCAGATCTTAATTTTATTTAGAAGCCTTGCATAAAAGGATAATCTAATTTTTGTTGTGTTTAAAATTTGGTACTATGTTTATCTTTGAAGACTTATATTTGCCATGTATAATGGAAAACAAAGTTTTCTCTAGCTGTGGTATTGATGACCTCATATTATAAACTGAAAATGGGGGCCATGGAGACAGCAGAAGAGACAGAGTGTAGATATTATGCACGTAGACATGCCCAAATTCCCACCACATGTGTGTCGGGGTCAGAGGACAACTATGCAGAATCTCTTCTCTCCTTTCATTGTATGTGTTCAGGGGATCAAAGTTGTCAGCCTTTAACCTCTGAGCCATCTCGCTGGCCCCACCAAATCTCATTTTATTTTAAATCTTTTTTTAGCCTTGTATTGAGAGAGAGAGAGAGAGAGAGAGAGAGAGAGAGAGAGAGAGAGAGAGAGAGAATATGAATATGAGAATGAGAATGTTGGGGAGGTGTCAGAAGGTGACTTGCAAGAGCCAGTTTCTCTAGCACAGGCGTCCCAAAGATTGAACTCAAGTGTCAATCTTGGCAACCAGCAAAACGCCCCTGAGCCGCCTCCCCACATTTAATGCTCTCCCTCTGTTAGCTCTTGTGTCCGGCTGGTCTTCATAGCCTCCCCGCTCAGTAACTCACTTGAGTGACCATATTCTAGACGGGTTTGTTTTGTTTTGTTTTAATTGTAGGCCTGAGTTCTAGGATAGCAGAGTTCAGACACAGCCTACACAGTGTTTACTGCCCCACGCCCCCATTCCCGTTCTTCTGCCAGCTCTAGCTAGTCCACGTTGCTGGAGTCACTTTGCCTCTTCCTTTCCTCCCATATCTTAGCTCTCGTTGCTTCATTTTTCTTCCTGTAAACTTAGCTAAAGGGCACTCGCTGGACCCTCTCCACAGGGACAGTGTTAGAACCCCAGGGATGCTTACAGCCTCATCCTTTACTGCACTGTGTGTTCTATGAGTTTGCTGTATGTAATATCTGTGATGGTTTAATAAACAGAGTGTGATGAGAGATTAACAACAGTAATAAGATAGAGCAATTACACTCTAATACCAGTTGTGTGGAGGCGGCCTCTCATTATCCTCTTAGGTTGTGTTCACCCTTACGAAGTGAGGTGAGATGAAATGAGGCGGATAATGCACGTGTCAGGCTACAATGTCAAGGTTACCAGGTACAAGCAACGCCCTGAGTTCATCCAGGAGCCACAACAGCCAGAACAGGCCAGTAGTGCCTGCATGGTGAGCGCACTGGACAGAGGTGGTTGATGTCCTGGGTTAGACAGTGAAACGGCACAGTCACACTACTCGCGATAACACAGTTTAAAACTGACCTCCTATCAGAGTCTCCATGTCTTCAAGGCTGCTATTGACCACGGATACCTGAAAACCGTGCTTAAGGGGGGACTGCTGTTCCTTGCTTTGCCTTGCCTTTTCCTTGATCTTCCCCACCCCTTCTCCTGTGTAACACAGACTGGCCTCCGGTTTGTAGTCCTTCTGATATACCTGAGTCCTGGGGTTGCAGACCTGCACCAACATAACCCAGCTGTTTCTGCCTTTTATATGCATCTCAGTTTACATTGTTGAGGGGTTCTAGAAAAAATCATGCACATGTTGATATCACAGAATTTTGCCTCAGACATGATCTGCGATCTTGTGCTTGTCCTGGCCAGGCAGCATTGCATTATATATACCCCCACACCCCTGCTTTCAAGTAAAACAAGTTTTATCAAATGTCAACTGCTGTGGTAGTACAGCCTTGTAATACTAGGGCTACTGGGGAGGCTGAGGAATGATTTTAGTTCTGAGTTAGCCTTAGCTACATGTCAGATACCAGACCAGCCTACCTCGTGTGTGTGTGTGTGTGTGTGTGTGTGTGTGGAAGGCGATGGGTGTGTGTGGAGAGATACAGATACACAGAGATTGGGTGGGCTGATGAGTGGATCCCCGTTCATTCATTCTTCCTTCACTCCCTTGCATATAAATTTCTTCAGTTCACTTAAGAAAGACAATAAGTCCATCCCTGACTCATGACAAATTAGAGTCAAACATAGGGTCTACCCCATATATGGTATATAAGAAACATGAAGGAATTCCGTGCTTAGAGCTGAGTCCCATCTGCAAAATATCCCGTGGCATATATGCAGACACCCCAGAATGTAAAAACAAAAAGCCAAATTACTGTTGATCTCGGGCATGTGGATAAGGGAGACTTAGCCTGTGCTACCATCACCGCTGAGGAGGAGGCAGGCAGGAGAACTCTGCTTACAGTTCCCTTCCTAACACATCTTCCCACTGTTTTCCTCTTTGTATTTGATCCCTCCTTTTCCCCTGGGAACTACCCTTTGGCACAAACTTATTATCTTTCCACTCCTAAAAACAACATCATCGTGACTGTCAGCTAAGGGAATCTGGTACCATCTTGTCACACTTAGGGTTTCAGTGCACTGCAGTTTGACATCTCTGAATCCTTCACTGACATCTCTCAGGCCGTGACCTGTGATGGCTTCCTTATCTCACCTTTTGGAAACGTGACTTTGTAACTCCTCCGTTTTTTCAGACATTTTCCTCCAGGCTTTGGGGATGTTCACTTTCTGTCACTGACGTTTCTTTTTAGGTTAGGAGACCGCTGGCTTTCCCATGATGTCACAGTGTGGGAAGTCGGGCCATCCTGAGTTGACCCAACTGCTCTGGGTCTGTGATGGAGTGAAACACAGTAGCAGAGAGCCCCGGACGGAGCAGTGACTGTTCACATCATGACAGAGAAGTGAGGGACAGAGGGACAGTAGAGCCTCACAGGCCAGGTGACCAGGAAAGCTCCTGCTAGACTCCACGAACTAAAGGTTCCATGGGCTGAGGGCCGACCTTTGGCACATGGGCCTTTAGAAGACACCCACGCATAGCAGGGACTTGAGTTTTGGCGTTCTCTGTCCACTCTACAGACAGTGCACACTTGTGTCGATGATGAAAAAGCTCCCACAGTTCAGCTTCTGTCCAGAAACAGTAATTCCCAAGTCTTTAAGCTAACTTCTGCCTGCCAGGTTCTAGATTTGGATGTAAGCTTCCAGCAGCCGTTTGCAACCATGCATCTCCCAGGAACTCAATTAGTTGATCAGTTTCTTCCCTTCCGTTCAAAACCTGCTCTTCTTGTACTCCACGTTTTTATTAGCATTTGCCACCATCTTGTGCAAGCTGTAAGCACTGGTAAGTAACGTGGGACCCTTTCTTTTGCTTACCAAGCATTACTTGGCCTCCTAAGTGCCTCCTCTATCCCACCCCACCGTCCTAGTGCCAACTCTACTATCCTTCACTGGATGTCTTGTAGAATTCTTATGCTTGGCTTGCGTGTTTACTCTGTGGTGTTTCGCCTTCTATTTATCTGTAATACGGATGACTTTGCCTAGTATTTTCTAGGTCTCATGCTAGGCCCTTCTTCACCATTGCATTCATACCTTACTGTGGAGGTCAGAAGGCAACCTCCAGGAGTCAGTTCTCTACCATGTGGGCTGCTGGGATGGAGTTCAGGTCGTCAGGCTTGGTGACAAGACAGCTGAGCCGTCTCTGCAGCCTCGTCATACTAAGTTCTGAGCACACAGTGACTGGATGATGTTGGCAGGGCCCCAGCTCAGACGGCGCTTATTTCGTAATGAGTACGGTAGAAGTGCACGCAGTCCTGCCGTGTCGTGTGACTGGAAGGAGAGGGGCACCCTTGGGGTGGTCTGACGGAGGAGCCGCCCCGCTCTGAGAAGACAGATGCGATGGAACTGAGTTTTAACAGGAGGAGACTGTGGAAGGGGCCAGAAAACAGAGGGGACCTTTGGGGACAGGGAGGCACATTGGCTACACTATGCTAGGAAGGCAGCAATCCAAGGAAAGGTCGTCCGCAGACAGAGCAGGGAGCATGGTAAGATGATGATTGTGGCGGCGGTGGTGTGGAAAACCCGAGGAGGCATGAGACCCATGTAGGTTGCAAAAGGAAGAAACACCCCTCCTTAAAAATCTTGCAGTCACAATGAAGCACCTCAGCACTGTTTGTGTGTTTTTCCGCCTCTGGTCTGTGTACTGTGGCCTGACCTTAGGTTTACCTTGTTTCTACCTCTGCTGCTCTCTTCATCCCCCCATGCACCTCGGGGACATCAGACAAGCTCTTGCAGCACACCTCTGAGAAGCATTTCCTACCCCAAGAACCAGCAGAGAGCCTGGTCCTTTATCCCGAGTGTCGGTAGTGTAGACGGCTGGCACAGATCCTGCAGTATTGTAATAGTCTGTTTACCACCCCTGATACAACCCAGCTTCTTGTCATGGGATTAGTTCATTCATCTGTATTTGAGCCTTTCTGGTGGAGCGCTGGCCTTGGTGCCTGTGAGTGCTGAGTAAACATTCCATCGTGTGTTTTGACCACTTTACTTTGACCAGTAGTCAAGTGAATGAGATACCTGCTGACCAGTTAACCAGGCATGTGGGGGAGGGGATGACCATATAGACCCTGCATTGTGGTCCATCCTCAGTTACACAAACTCTGCTTCCTTTTATTAATTTACACGTTTCCCTTGAAGGGAACTTCAGTGAGTGTTCTGTAATAGAGAATCGATATTTGAGAAATCATTATTTACTGGGTCAACCTAGCTGTCTGTTTTTTTTGAAATGTCAACAGTACACATGGGTTATGTGGTCTGAATTACAGAAAAATCCTTCAATGACTTGTCCTAACTCCAGACACTACTTGTGATCAGAAGTTCCCACTGTGTCTACCCAAGGTGCCACGGAATCGGGGGCCTTGCTTCGTGAAGCTGGGGGCAGAACCTGTGATCTTTCTGCCCTTGATGTACTCATTTGGGAGAGTGACAGCTGACGTTTCTTGTGCTTTCTGCCCCCAGATAACAGCAAAAGCAGCCATCGTCTTCGTTGCTCTTCAGTACAATGTCACTCGGCCTGCGACAGGTAGGTCTTTATGCAGACATGCAATTGAACACATCGGGAGGTATCCATGGACACTAAAGTCTGTTAATCTCTAGTGTCTGGGCTTTCTTTTGTCCTAAGCAGTGTACGAAACCTGGTTTTATGTGTTGATTGTTTCTTATATATTTTGTGCATGGTCCTGAAATTCCATCAGAGACTTCTCTGTATTGCTTCCTCTAATCCTCTCCTGAAGGAACTCCTGAGAGTCAATGGGCTCATGTAGGTTGTTGGGCAGGCAGACTTCTACAGGTGCACTGTTCTGGCTCAGTTTTTCTGCCCTTTGTTATATTTTAGGCCAGGGATAATCCCTTCAGACTTACTCTTTTCATTTTTTTTTTTATTCTGCCTTAAGCAAGTATTTTGCCTAGAGAAAATATTAGTAAATTCTAGGAATTCTCAGAAAATTGTGTCCACATTGTGCTTTCATTTTAGAAAGTTTTGTTTCCAAGTTACGCTATGTAAAAGTGCAGCTGCAGTGGGAAGGTGGCTGAGGCAGAGAACTGTGGTTGGCTCTGGGAAGCAGAGAGAAGATGCTGCTGCCTTAAGGAAATGGGAGTGTGTCTGCCAGGGACCTGCTCCGGGGTTTCCCACCTTGGCGGAAGACCAGAGGGACAGGCTGAGTTTCTTCTGTTGTGTGTAGTTTCACAAATGCTTGGTTGAGTGACTGGGAAAACAAGTTGCTCGAGACTGTAGTGTTGCTTGGCATTGGAGATGCCAGAATGATGTCGTCACCTAAATGCCCCTAAACAAGCCTCAAAACTCCAAGAACAGATGCCAGCAACTCATAAATACGAACATATATTTTGAAAAATGGAAAGCAAATTCAAAAATTAACGTAACTTTTAAGTAGTAGCCACACCTCTCTGGTGCTTGGAAACCAGAACCAAAGCAAACAAGTCAAATTACCATGAGAATCATAATGGAGGGCCAGTGCAAATCCAGCCAGAGGCCACGGAGGCTCTCTGGAAGATGAGAGAGTGGGCTAGGTGAAGTCTGCCAGGTAGTGGTGGCTCCCTGTGTTTGGTTTCTGGTGGCCGTGACTAACATGTGTCAGGTCTTCTGTAAATAACCCTGGAGCTTTGGGTGGTAGATGGCCTCTTCAGCTTCCGTTCTCCCATGGCTGGGGACACTCAGGAGACACCGTGATATCGCTGTAGAAGTTTACTCAGAGTTAGTCTCCTTCTGTTTGTTCCAGAACTATGTTGTACCGAGTGCTGTTTTCATAATCTCACGTATATTTTTGTGTGTGTGTGTGTCCTTTTTGGCCTTCAGAAGAACAAGCTACTGAATCAGCATCCCTTTATTACTATGGTTTCAAAGATTTGGCTACAGTTTTCTTCTACATGCTAGTGGCAATAATTGTTCACGCCATAATTCAGGAGTATGTGTTGGATGTAAGTATACAATCTTAGAAATCCTATTTTGTAGAGCACTGATAGTTTTCCATACTGCGGTCATCGTATGTTGTGTGTGTTGTGTGCTGTGTTCTTTATTACTAATACCTGCCTTTGTTTTTAGAAAATTAACAGACGAATGCACTTCTCCAAGACAAAACACAGCAAGTTTAATGAGTCTGGTCAGCTTAGTGCATTCTACCTTTTTGCTTGTGTTTGGGGCACGTTCATTCTCATCTCTGTAAGTATGTCACTCAGTGTTCTTAAACCTCATTTCACACTAAGACCTCTGCTCGGGAAGGAGGGTAATTAAGAGTTATTTCCCAAGAGCAGAAAGTCTGAGCTGCTGACTGGGGGATGTCATCATTAGATCTTGGCACTTGCAGATCTCCCCATTCACAAAAAGGATCCCATGTCAGCCTCAGCTTGCCGGGGTTAGAAAAGCAGAAATGTTGTTAGTCAGTTCCTCCTTGAAACAGTCTAGGTGGCTTCCAAGCTACTTTAACATATAAATGTTCAAGTAAGACACGATCAGAACCTTCAGCTCTCTTTAGTGAAGAGAGGGAAGCCAGTGTCAACTTTAATGTTAAATAACAGCACCCTTCATATTCCATTATGTGGCTTTCCACACTTTTGAGATTGTTAAGCACATGATTCTTTTAAATCTTCATGGTGGAGATTAATAAGAGCCAAAGTAAGATGCCTGGGATCTAGACTTAATGTCAGAGGTGTATTAAAACTCCCCTTCTCAATCCAGGGCGCAGCCCATCTTACTGGTGCAATGGACATGAAGAAATGTCAGCTTAAAATCTGTTTTATGTAAGCTTTTAGTGTAAGAATTACATTGGGCCGGGCAGTGGTGGTATGGGCTTTTAATCCCAGCACTCGGGAGGCAGAAGCAGGTGGATCTCTGTGAGTTCGAGGCCAGTCTGGTCTACAGAGTTCCAGAACAGTCCAGGCTACACAGAGAAACCCTGTCTTGAAAAACCAAGAAAACCCCCCCAAAAAAAAGAGTTGCACCAGGAACACATAGTCTTCTTAAAGTCGTCACTTTAGGTTTTGGAGGGGGTTTTGTTTGTTTGGTTGGTTGGTTGGTTTTTTGGTTTTTTTTTTGCTTTGCTTCTTGTAATTTTTCACCAAATACATCCAGTTTTCTGAGAACAAGATTTGCAGAGCATTGTATGCATTGCCTTATTGTGGACTTCTGTCAAGAAGCACTGTTTCCAGTTCTCTTATTACATGGATAAAACACATCCTTACAGAGCTGGCCTACACCTGTCACGTTCTGTTGCTGTTCATTGCACACCGTTAGTTTGCGGTACTTCTTACTCCTGTATGGCACTGAAGGATACTTGAAATTGGGTACTGTATCCTACCTGGTTTATGTCTCATACTCATTTCACTTAGCTAGCACAAGCCATTCAGATCACATTGGAGAGCTACAACATTTGATTTTAGCTTGCCCTTTGGAACCTTTTGTGGGGAATTGTAAATGTTTGCATGGTACTCATAGGCCAATTTTCCTGTCTCTTAGGAAAACTATATATCAGATCCAACTATCCTGTGGAGGGCTTATCCTCATAACCTGATGACGTAAGTTATTTTTTTATCAGGCCTTTCTTAACTAAATACTGTTCATGTCACAAACAAGCTGAACCCATTCCTGTTACTCTCTCTGGGCTTGATGCTACTACATGGAGTGGGTGCATTCCCTGCAGCAGAAGGACAAGAGCATCACCACTGTCCTGAGGAAAAAGGCGCCGTGTGCTGGTCTGTTTGCGTTACCTTTGCCAGCATGAGACAGCTGATCTTAGCCATTCTTTTTAAAGATTATTTTATGTATACGACTTTTTGCCTAGATGTATGTGTGTGTACCACCTGTGTGACTGGTGGAGAGGAAGTCAGAAGGCGGCTTCAGATCCCCGGAACTGGAGTTGTGGGTGGTTGTAAGCCACCGTGGGTGTGCTGGGAATCAAGCCCAGCTCCTCTGTAAGAGCAACAAGTGCTCTGAACTGATAGGCCCTCCATCTCCCCAGGCCCTGATTTTAACCTTTTCAGTTTGGTGTTCTCTTCCCTTCCTGCACCCTTGTCCTTCCCGTCTGCGTGACTCCATCTTTCCATGGTTTTCTTGGCTTTCCCGTGCCCCCTTGGTCTCTTCATTCCTTCATTTCTAGCTGTTGTGGACTGTTCTCGAGGCTGTGGTTCTCCTTTGTCTTGCTGGCATCCTGCGGGGCTGTAGCTTGTTTTCGGGAGCTTAGTGGACGGGACACAGTGAGCTGTTCTCGCTCTTCAAGCCTCAACCTGCCTAGTGCCGCTGCTGCACGCGGGTTCTCCTCACTGCTGTGCCTGCAACGAGTCCCTCGTACCTCGTGTTGTTCAACTTATATTTGTATAGCGTCTCTATAATTTAGATTACTCTCTGGTCATCTCACACGTGTGAGTTCTGCTTTGTGTCCAGACCACCAAGACTGTACCTTTTCAACAGTGGAGCGCTCTGTTTCTGATGTTGTTTGTATACTTTATTCTCTCTCTGCTTAGAAAGTTCTAGGTGCTTCCCACCTGGAAAGTACTCACTGAGTACTTGGTGATCTAAAAACTAGAGAAAAATTCATGAAGGAAGGGAGTCACGTGGCCGTGCATGTATTTGAATTAAATGCAGCAGTAATATCCCCCTTACTGAGTCATTCTCTGATTTAAAAAAAAATAAACTAGAGTGATGTGTTGACCTTTTTATAAGATGTAGTTATAAACATCATACTTACATGCAGCTGTATTACCTCCTGGAAATGTCTTCAGATTGGCTTTGTGGTCTCCATTTTCACGTATAGAGAGCGTGAGAAGGGAGATGATGATCAGTCAGAAGGGCCAGAGGTTTCTAATGTAAAGAGGAGCCTGCTGAGTGACAGAGATGCATCTCCTGGGAATCCTCCCGCACCTCCGTCCTGCCTTTAGTTCTGCCTCGACCTCCATGTGTTTGCAGCCGGATGGAATAATATTTCACTAAGGAAACAGTGGGGTATTTGATGCTGAGATTGCCCGTTTCCGGTGACAGTTACTCTATGAGCCATTGCTTTACATCAGCCCCTCCCCTTTTTAGCATATATTTGATACAAAATAATGGGTTTTGTTGTGACATCGGGTGGTCTTTTTCTCCCTTTCCCCGTTGATGAAGCCTTCTAGGTCTGTGGGTCAGTCGGCCCCATGGTTTCCCATAGCTAGCATGGCTTACTCCTCCGCCTTCGGTAACTGACAGACAGGTGGCTCAGGTTCCGCTCGCAGTGGCTTTGCTCAGTGTTGTGGCAGCAGAGTGGACTGCACAGTGTGCAAACCGAGCAAGCCGGCTGCTCAAGAGCTGCACGGGGATGGGTCAGCCTCGTGTGAAACGATAACAAAAACCTGGCTACCTCATCTATCCCGGGTTCTCGTCTTTTTGAGTTCTTTTGTTTTGTTTTAAATACTGTACTTGAAAAGATATTTTTGCTTTCTCACACAGCTTTCAAATGAAGTTTTTCTACATCTCCCAGTTGGCATACTGGCTCCATGCACTCCCTGAACTCTACTTCCAGAAAACCAAAAAAGTAAGCTGGGTGTGGTTTAACTTTAGAGATTGTCTTGTCATTTCTCAAACGGAGTACCCCCCTGTCCTTGGCCTCAGCCTTGTTTCTGCCATTCCCCACCTCACCTTCATTCGAAAGCCAAGATTCCTAAATATTTCTTTTAAAAACCTCCGATTTTATTTAACTTTTACATTTAACATGCTGGTTGCTTACTTTTAAATAAGTGGTAACTTAAATTAAAACTTAAGCAAGATTTTAAGATGTGTTAGTTTCCTCTTACTGGTTTCTGGGTTTTGGGGGGTGAGGGTATTGTTGTTGTTCAGCAATTTATTTCACAAGTAACTAGTTGGTGTCCAATTAACAGTTCTGTGTGTAAGTCCAAAATAAGAGTTCAGTGTTGACAGAAAAGTAAACCACAGTTGAATTTTCACCAGGGCAGCCCTTCCTGATGGGTGGGATGGGGCAGCCCCTTTAGCCTGTGGGGAAAGGGTTTGCTTAGAGAAATGGGTGAACTGCGGGAGCTCTTGGTGCCCCCTTTCTGAAAATGGGCCTCCATGGCATTGCACAGTCAGGTTCCTTTATCTTAGGGACCTCTTGTTCCTCTGCCCATCATCGCTTAAAGCCAACGCTGCCGACCTGTGCTCTGGGAGGCTCCCTCTGTACCGTCTCCTCTCTCTCTCTGTACGCCATGCCTTAGCCGTTACACCCACATTCTCTAAGTTTATCATTGTCACGTGAGGGTTGCGCTTTCAGGATTTCCTTTTCCCTGTGATTAATCAAGTATCTTTATTTTTGTGTAGATAGATTTTAAAAGAAAAAAACTCTATGTGGGATTTACTTGAAAATAGTGTCAGAGAAGGATAAATGGGTAGAGATCTAGATGAGACAATTTCTGTCTTTAATCAATCACTCTGAGCCTGTTCCAGCTGCACATGAGTTCATCTTACTCCTTGTTGGTTGTGTGCAGATTTATGTTTGCCACAGTTAGAAGGTTCCTGACTGATTGATCTCTGCCCTCTCATAATGCACAGGTAGTCTTTAAAAAGTGCGTATAAGTTGGTCCTTTATCATCTGTCCTGTGCCCGCTGTCTGCTGGGATCAGGAAACAGTACCAAGTAGAGGTCATGTCCTCTGGCACATGTTGCTTTTTCTATAAGGTGAAATGCTTTTCCAGTTACTACACAGATTAGGGTGTAATTGCACAGGTCACTGCTTTTGAATGTCTAGGAATTATTAGGCCCACAGTTTCCAGTAGCTCTTCTCTGTCCATTGAGCTCCTTGGAGTCTTAGGTGTCCCAGAGCCACACTGTACAGAATAGTAGCTGCTGGCCCCCTGTCAAATCAGTACAAACACAGTCCCGCTTCCTAGTCAGACTGGCCTTAGTGCCTTTTATCCATGTGTGGCTACCAACGACCGTGTGGGGTAGAAGGTACACACATACACACTTTCTCCCTCCCTCCCTCCCTCCCTCCCTCTCTCTCTCTCTCTCTCTCTCTCTCTCTCTCTCTCTCTCTCTCTCTCTTTCTCTCTCTCTTTCTCTCTCTGTCTCTGTCTCTCTGTCTCTCTCTCTCACACATACACACACACACACACACACACACACACACACACACACACACACACACTTTTTAAAAGATGGTTTTTCTGTGTGGCTCCAGTCTGGATAATAACTCATGATCCTCCTGCTTTGGTCTCTCCTGAGTGAGGGAAAGAGATAGGTGTGTGCCACCATTTATGGCCTGCACAGAGATTTAGGGAACATTTGTGTCATTGTGGAAAGTTTTGTTGGACAACAGTACTGAGAGTATCATAATTTCTTGATGCTTTACTGCTGGACATGGCTCAACTGTTTGAAGCTTTCTTCAAGTGTTTGCATACCCATGAGACTAATACTTGTAGATTTCGTTATTAATCAGTGTCTGCATCTTGCTAGCTGACCCTAGTAAGTGAGAAGGAACATTTCAAGCAGTTGTGCATTTTAGCTTCTGAGGCTTCTTTCTTATCAGTTCTTGCCAGATGGCATCTCTCCAGAAATGCGGTCTTGTTTTTAGGGAATAATTTGCATAACTTAGAACTTAAACTATTTTTAATACTTCCACGTGACAGTTGAAAGTAACTGTTTCAAGGAGTTAGCATAATTTGAAAGTAACAGCTGCATATGTGTTAAAGAGTTTCTTAAAATCTCCTCTATGAAATGTATTTTGGGAAGAACTCTTTACTGGAAGACAGTAGTACGGTGGTTGTTGTGAACCAGTCTCATGGGCGGATGAATAAGAAAGGAACGCTGTTAACGGGTGGAGAGGTGTGGCGGGGGCAGAGAGCGAGCAAGCGAGCTCAGTGTCCTTGATTGGAAGATTTCAGTCATATAACTTGAGTGTGAGCACATCTCCATTTTGCTCGGGAGGAGATTGGAAATGGCATTTCTTAGCCAGGCATTGTAGTGTGTCACCACAGTCCCAGTTCCTGGAGGGGCTGGACCAGGACTGTTGAGTCCGGCCTGAGCAATGCAAAAAGAGACCTCATCTCAGAGAGAGTAATTGCTTGGCTAGTTTGAACTTGCAAGATTTGAAGGAAGTCGAGAAATAGTCGAAAGTTTTGTTGCTGATAATCAAACTAGCTTTGATTTTAGATAATATAATTGATTATTATATAGACTACTAGAAATGTTTCCCATCCCTACTTCTTGACAGCCAGAGTCGCCTTTCCAATCCCTGTCACTCACCACTGGCACTTCCCTTTGAATTATTGCAAAGCTTTTTCATAGTCTGTCCTTAGACCTGGATCGGGATTTAAAGTAGCAGTGGGGGAAATATTTAAGCCTTCTCTGCCTTTCACCAACACTTATTATTACTCAAAATCATCAGTATAGATCCCTGTAATAGGAGAGCTTTTTAAAAATGCCAGTTTAAGATGAGATCCTGGACTAACAAGTAAAAAATGTTGCTTAAAGTTATTTATAGTTTTGGAATTCATAACTTAAGAATACTAATTAGATTTTTCCATGAAAAATGAGATTATTCAAGTTTTATGGCATTCCACAATTTCCTTCTCCATAGCTGTATGGACGTTAGTATTGAGGACATACATAGCCAGATGTGATGGCGCACACCCAGAATCACACCACAAAACTTTCTCTGTAAAGTTTTTTAAAAGTAAAATGACTTGGAAATTTTATTAACTGACTCGTTGTTGTAAGTGTTTTAGTGTGTTAATCGGAAGCAAAACCTTGATCGTGGCTTCTGGTGGAGAAAGGTAATCCCCACAACAAAATCACGGGACTGTGATTGAGACTGTGCTCAGCAGCACACCTGCTTCTCCGTTTGCCTTCGTCAGGCCTATAGTTTCCATAGCTGTGAGGAGCCGTCCTGGGACAGCTGGCTGACCCCCAGACTGCCCAGCAAACTGATTTGGTGAAGTCCCTCTCAGAAAGCCAAGTTTTCCCCAGCCCCTTGCTCCTCTCCCTTCCCCCACACCTCGGTGACTGTAAACCCCAGAGCCTGGTGCCAGACTAGCGTTTGCTTATCATCTCCAGACATGTGAGCTCCAAACCACATGGCCTTCCTCCCATGGACTGCAGAATGATGGGGGAGTGTGACCCGGGACAGTACACTGAAGCCATCATTTTCTCGATACACTGTCTCCAGTTAGTCTTACATTCTTACCTGGGGGGTGTTCTCCAGTGGCTCCCCGTGGTTGTGTGTGTCTCCTCGGTTCTGCTTTCTTTCTTGGTGTTGGTTTTAGGCCTGTGGTGCAGAGATGAGCTGCCTTGCCCAAGCCCACACCTATGGGAAGCGCAGAACTTGTTTTCTTAGTTACTTAAGCTTTTCCTGTGGTGCTGCTTGAGTGAACAGGTACTGCTTTGGAAATGCTTGTTCGTATGCATCTAAGGGAACTTTTACTTAGGAAGAGGTTCCTGGGTAACTGGCCTTTTGAAAGCAGTTGACACCTTTTAGCAGTTTGGGGAGAGGGCAGGTTTCAGTGAGGGCAGTTTATCTGCCATCATTATTGACCTGTTGGTTCTAAGACACCAAGTCAGCTGGATATAAGAAAGACACAGGATGGGTTGTGCTGCTAAAAATGGAAGTGTTGACCGTGTTTTTCATCTCTGGTGCCTTTGTGCTTGCAGGAAGATATTCCTCGTCAGCTTGTCTACATCGGTCTTTACCTCTTCCACATCGCTGGGGCTTACCTTTTGAAGTGAGTTGGGCTTTGCTTGGGTCTGTGTGGACTAGCAGGTAGTGTGCTGACTTCACGGAGCTGGCAGTTAACCTTTCTTCGTGTGTTCTGTCCACAGCTTGAACCACCTGGGCCTTGTTCTTCTGGTGCTGCACTATTTTGTTGAGTTCCTTTTCCACATTTCTCGTCTGTTTTATTTTAGTGATGAGAAGTACCAGAAAGGGTAGGTACTGTCTTTTGCTTGGTCACCAGGTGTTTGAAGTCAGGAGATTATCAAAGCCCGTGTCCTTGAGAATTCTACAGTTTTCTTAGTACTACACTAAAAGAAAATGGAACCACTTGGCAGTGTTCACGCTCTCTATTTTATTCTTTAAAATGGAGTCTGTCTTGGCTGGAGAACACACATAAAGGTGTGAGAAAAGAGGCAAATCCACAGAGTTTCTCTGATCTCCTCACATGGGCCATGGCATACATGGACCCCTACCCACCCCGTACAGCATACATACGACAAATACAATTGTTAAAAAAGAAAGAAAGGAATAGGTAATGTAGCCCTAAGAATATGCAAAGATTTTAGTAAAGAATCAGATCGGAAAGAAAAATCCGAAAGGTGTCACTTGTGAAGAGTGTGACGTCTGTAAAAATCCGAAAGGTGTCACTTGTGAAGAGTGTGACGTCTATAAAACGCTGAAAGGGGAGTTGTTTGCAGCGCTGCTCTGTCTTGGCTTCGTCCAGCATGTGTCAGCCCTTCAGTGAGTAAGTTCTGAAGCACATTGCAGTATTTAACAATGAACAAAAATGTTCAGTGGTTGTCTACTGGAGTTGTGAAAAACCGAAATAAGGTAATCAATGCCATGGACCTCTACTGCAGTGTGTGGAATTGCCCAGGCATCTGAATACAGAAACTGTTTTTTGCAGAATAAGAAGTGCTGTTTTAGGAGATGGAAAGAGCTCAGTGGGAAAGTGCTTGCTGTGCAGCAAGCGGGAGGACCTGGGTTCTGATCCCCAGCCTCGGGGAAAAAGCCAGGTGTGGGGTGGCAGCAACAGGGCACTGGGTCTGGGCAGGCCAGGCTCGCCAGTGGCTGAGCGACCTTGTCTCTCACAGCCCTGGAGAGTGACTGAGGAAGACACCCTCACTGATTTCGCCCTCCACAGCAGGCTCAACACACACACACACACACACACACACACACACACACACACACACACACACACGACACAAAAAAGTGCTGTTTGAATATGCATTTGCTCAGGAGCGATCCATTCTAGTAGAACCGTCCCCTCTTGATTTTGTTCCGTGACTTTGCACATTTCTCTTACAGGTTTTCCCTCTGGGCGGTTCTTTTTGTTTTGGGAAGACTTCTGACCTTAATTCTTTCAGTCCTCACTGTTGGGTTTGGCTTGGCAAGAGCAGAGAATCAGAAGCTGGATTTTAGCACTGGAAACTTCAATGTGCTGGCGGTTAGGTACAGTCCTCTCATGTCCCACTGTTACTAACATGCCACCGCTTGGCTGTATTACCACATCATTGCCTAAGTGCCGGGTAACTTGAAGCTAGAAAGTCCTGGACTTGGTTTCATGCCTGCTGCAGTTCCTTTCTACATTGAATAATAATACTAAGACCTCGTGTAACTTCTAAGATTGATTTCTCGATGGAATGATTATTTCTTAGCATAATCTTGCCAACAGAGTGAAAGTGTTAGCCATAGTCATTGCTGTCAAATCTCCGTAGGATGCGTTCTCCTCATCTCTAATATTTTGTCGTTTTCTGCATGCTTTTCAGGATCGCTGTTCTGGCCTCCATCTGCATCACGCAAGCCTTCATGATGTGGAAGTTCATTAACTTCCAGCTTCGGCGGTGGAGGGAGCATTCTGCCTTCCAGGCCCCACCCGTGAAGAGGAAACCAGTCGTGACCAAAGGCAGGTCTTCCAGAAAAGGAACAGGTTGGTACTGACTAAGCCATGGAAACACCTGGAAGTGAAAGCATGGGGAACCATAGCTACAGGGCATTTAGTTTCCAAATCTTACAAAGACAACTCTGTTACCTTTTGTTTAAAAGAAGGAAAAACATGTTTATGGAGTACACTTCAAGGACAGTGGCCTAGCCAACGACAAGAGTGCTTGCCTCTCTTTATCCAGCTGGTTAACAGGACTGGAGGCAAAGTGACCCTCTCGCCTTCCTCTCTCCTTGAGTGAGGGGTCAGTCACTCTCAGGAGCAGTCAGCAAGCTTCCTTCCTTTGAGTCTCAGCAGAGCAAAAGCCTCACTAGTGACTAGCCAAGTGGATGTGTCTCGGTGTGTTGTCAGCATCTGTTCGTGTTTTCAAATCTCCAGCCCCTTCCCGTCTGTAAAAAGATCAAGTTTTTATGTATATAAAACTTCTGATTGCTTGGTGCTTTAACTCTGCAAAGCCTGCATCTCACTGCTCTCTCCCATTGGCTTGTGACTGAAACCTATTGACACTGCAAATGATACTTTCAGTGCATGTGGTTCTTGGAACAGAAGCGTAGGGAGTCACAGCTGTAAAGACACATCCGCATTAGCTTGTTCCTGCTAAGTCTTGGCTCTCCTGGGTTCCGTACTCCAGCTTTGTCCAGCAGTTCTTGAACCTGTGAATCTCATTCATCTCTCTCCCCTCAAACAGCTTAGATCCTGGACTAAATTTACATCACCTCTGTAGATGGATATAAAGATCATTTGTATTTCAGTACATGAGTATCGTACACGCCTACATTATTGAGGTTATTTTGAATTACAGTGATACTTCATAGTTCTTACACTTATTTTGTGTGTGTGCATTTGTGCCAGAGCACACGTGGAGGTCACAGTAGCACCTCTCCTTCCACCATGTGGGGTCCGGGGATCAAACTCCTCAGGTCATCAGGATGGGCGGCAAGCACTTCAACCCACTGAACCGTCTCGCTGGCCCCCAGTAATGCCTTTCAGCGGTGACTTTATTGGAGTGTAACCTCCACATCATACAGTTGGCCTTGGAAGTGTACATATCACCATTTAAAGCAGAATTCGGTATTTATCTGTTGAGAGTGTGTGTGCAGACACATTGGTGTCACGGCATACGTGTAGAGATCACAGGAGTACCTGGAGGTATTGGCCATCCCCTTCCATCATGTAGGTCATCATGCTTGACTGTGGGTGCCCTTACCCTCTGAGCCATTGGGAGGAATACAAACGTTTTTAAACTATATTTGCTAGCTAGGTGTGGTGGTGCACGCCTTTAATCCCAGCCCTGGGGAGGCAGAGGCTGGTAGATCCCTGAGTTCAAGGCCAGCCTGGTCTACAGAGCAAGTTCCAGGACAGCCAGGACTACCATAGAAATCCTGTCTCAGGGTGGGGGGTTGGGGGGACCACAATATTTACAAAGTGATAGGAACTGCTACCTAATTCCAAAACATGTTATAAAAGCTTCCCAGAAAGAGCCAGGTGTGGTGCTGTGGATGCCTTTAATCACAGCGCTTGGGAAGCAGAGGCAGACAGGCACTCAGCCCAGAGAAAATCCCTGTCCCTGTCAGCAGCTCCTTCCACTTCCTTCCCAAGCTCTTGGCAGCCACTATTCAATCCTGTGTCTCAGTGGTTTGGTCTTTGCTAAATATCTTCTGTACATAGCACAATACAGTAGGTGCTCATCTGTGACTGGGTCAGCTGACATAGTTTAACTTTTCTGCATATTCCTGTAGGTGTGCAAGCGTGCATGTGGGCGGGCCAGAGGCTACCCTGTGGAGGTGGTTCTTCCACCCTAGTGGGCTCCAGGGGTCAGACTTGATTCTGACTGCTGAGTCATCCTATCCACCTCAGCATAATATTTTTAGGTTTTTTTTTTTAAACTACATTTTTTTTTATGGGGGGAGGGGGTGTGAGTGCACATGTGCCATGGTGTGCCAGAGGAGGTCAGAGGACAACCTCTAGGAGTTCTGTCCTTCCACCTTCTGGATCCTGGGGATGAAACTCAGGTTGTGGCTTGGCAGCAGGCACCTTCACATGCAGAGCCTTCGCACAGGCCCTTAGCATCGTGTTTTTGAGGTTCATCTATGTTAGGGCATAAGCACTACTCAGTCTTGTATGGATATACCATACTTGGTTTATCTGGTCGATGGACACTTGGGTTCTTTGTACTTTTAACAATAAGTTGATGTAAGCACATCTATACATGTCTTTGCACACCTGTTTCTGTCTCTTAGTTTGTGTGTGTGTGTGTGTGTGTGTGTGTGTGTGTGTGTGTGTGTAACTGCGGGGTCATTAGGGAGAGTACTCAGACTGTTATTTCAAAGTGGCATCATTTTAGTGAGCTGAGTCTCAGGTTTATACACAGTTGTTCTTGTACTGTTTTCTGGGAAAACTAACCTCTCTCTAATGAATTTTGAAAAATGAGTCAGATCTGAGCTCCAGATTTTGCCAGATGTATTTAGGTGCATGTCACTGTGCAGGTAGACATTGCCTTGCTGTGGTGTGTGGGTAGTGTACTGCCCCTTTTCTGTAGTGGGTGGGCCACTCACTGCATTGCTGTGGTGGGTAGTAGCTCACTGCATTGCAGTGCTGGGTGGGCCGCTCACTGCATTGCAGTGGTGGGTGGGCTGCTCACTGCATTGCTGTCTTTCTGTGGCTTTGGAAGTTTTGTGGACAGGAGATGGAGGTTCTCCAGTTTTCTTCTTTTTCACAGTTTGGTCGTTTTAGGTGCCTAGCATTTCTGTGTGGATTTTAGGATCTGCCTTTCAGTGTCTGCAAGAAGCACCTGGAGTTTTGATTCAAATTTCCTTTAATCTGTAAATTGCCTTGGGGAGCATTAACATGGATTTCTTTTCATTTATTCTGCTCTTTAATTTCTTCCAATTAAATTTTATAGTTATCAATCTAAATGTCTAGTACATGATTAAATTTCTTCCTAAATATTGTACTCTTTTGGATGCTGCTATAAAATAGAATCATCTCCTTAATTCCATTTTCAAGTTGTTCCGTGTGAGTATGGAGGTGCAGTTGGTGTCTGCATGTTGATCTGTTCCAGGTTGTTGGGTGTGAGTGTACAGGTGCAGCTGGTGTCTACATGATGGTCTGGATCCTGAGACTTTACTGGACTGACTTTAAAAGTACTTTAGTGGGTGTGGGTTCTTTTGGATCATCCACAAATGAAAGTAGTTTATTCACCTTCCTGGCCAATCCAGATGCTTTATGTTGCACTCTCTTGCTAAATTATCCTGACTTAAGAACAGGTATGGGCATGGTGCATGCGTAGAGTCCAACAAGTGTGGGAGACCAGCTCCCACATTTATTTACCCCAGGGACTCTTGAGGAATGAGGGATAAGAGATTTAGATAGAAATAAAGAGAACAGAGAAACAGAGAGAAATGCAGGATAACCTCAGGTAGACCTGGATCCTTATCCACCAGCCCGGAACATTATTCCAAAGGGCTATTTATAACAATGCCAAGGGGAGAGGCAAAGGACCTCCCCCTTGCTAGATACAACCAAGTGTAGACCCTTAGAAATACCTGGTACTCGGCCCGTAGTCCAGTCAGCCTCTTATGCAGTCCTGCTGGGCACAGCCACTAGGACACCTAGATGGGCTCCAACAGACAAAGAGGTCGGTGCCTTGCTCCTTGCCTTGCTCCCTCAGATGGTCTTTTACTGAACTGGAGTGAGGTCGTGACAAGCAAGCCCCACAGTCCCCTGTCTCTACCTTCTGAGTGCTGGAGTCACTGGCATGTGTGGCCGCTAGCAGCTTCCTGTGGCTTCTGGAGATTTGAACTCGGGTCCTCAAGCTTGTGCAGCAAGTACCATTGCCCGCTGAGGCATCTCCCAGCTGCCCTTCTCTCGATATAAAATTGCCTTCGTTCCTGGCATGCACCCACGTTAGGGACGGATGATAATGCAGCTTTGCTGTGTTGGGTTTTAATTATTTGGTAGGATTTTTCCGTCTGTGTTCATAGAAAAGATTGGCCTATAATTAGCCCTTTTTTCCAATGTCCTTGTCAGGTCTGCTAGCCTTGAAACAGTATTAAATAGATTTTCCCTGGGTTCACTGTCAGCATTGTTCTGTAAGTCACTGGAGGACTCCACGGTGACTCCGTCTTTGTAGATTTGCACTCAAGATAATGAAATTATTAAGACCTCTGCTTAATCTCTCCCTTTCAGTAACTTGTGATTTTCAAGGAATTTATGCCTGTTTTCCTTGTCAGTTAGAACCAGCATTTGAGAGCTAAGATGTAGCTCAGGGGTAGAGCACCTACCCAGGATGCATGAACCCCAGTGTACAATTTCTAGCACTGTTAAAAAAAGAAAACTTTTTAAATCTTTTGTTTTTTTGTTGTTGTTTGTTTTTTTACTTTTTATTTATTTTTATGTCTTTTCTGTGTCATCGATTCCTGCACTTGCTTCCAGGCTTAGGTCTGGTTGACTGTTTAACTGGTCTTCAGATGGCTCCTGGTCAGGGGTCTTCACGTCTCCTCGTGAATCACCCAGAATTCACTGTGGACTTTCTCCCTCATCCCTGTGTTGGGTAGACTCCTCAAACCTTGAACACTATTCAGTTATAGACATTTTAGAATTGTAATTTGAGTTCTCTTTTGAGCCGTGACTGTTTTGTGGGTCCATTATTTGATGTATTAGATGTCTGTCATTTTGTGCTTGTCTGTCTGCTGGTGTCTGACTAAATCCCATCATGACTAAAGACGGCTCCAAAGGGTCTCCCTTCCTAAACTCTGCGAGACTTTGATTATAGTTCAGGTTCAGTGAATGCTCCTTTTACACCCCAAAAAGGACATATGTTCTGCATTTATGGGGTGTGATTTACAGAAATCCACCTGCCTCTGCCTCCCCAGTGCTGCTGGACCTGGCACAATAAAATAGTTTTAAGGAAGAGGCTGCAGTTACCCTTAACTGTAATAGTGACTGTCCCTAATGACACCTCTTTTGTGCTTTAGAGAAATACCTTAAAGGTCTGTGCCACCCAGTGGGGACAGCTGTGTCCTGTCAGGGCTGCTGTGGGGACAGTTGCAGACCTTGTGACTTAACAGCAGTCCTCCACCCTACCTCCTTTTCCCTTTTTCTAGTAGTTACTTTCTGTTGATTCGCTGCCCGGTTCCTGGTGTGGTCAGCCTCTGGCCTGCAGATACCTCGTGTGTAACAATTGTGACTCAGTTTGCTTGTGAGACAATACCTGTGCTTCTCTCCTTTCAGAGAACGGTGTGAATGGAGCGGTCACATCAAACGGAGCAGACTCGCCCCGTAATAGGAAAGAGAAGTCTTCGTAGTGGATCGTCAACCGATGGATTAATGACCCCCAAAGAATCTGCTTTCTACTCTGTCTTTCGGCACTAGCGATGTTTCTGTTCTTGAAAATACAGTTTATGCTCTTTGATTTCTGCTGTTGTACTGTTCCTGCATTTTAAAGGGCATTCGAGGGGAGGAGGATTACCATGAGTGAGAAAAGATTGTAGCGTAGATTCAGCTACCTGCCTTCAGAATAGTTTAGGGACCACCACATATTTTATTTTGCTTTTTGTCTTGAACGTTTTTTCTTATGGTTCGGGGAAAGACCATTTACAGAAACCCCGAATAACAAGTGAAAATTTTTCTTGCTCTCACCGATTTTTTATAATATTAGCAAGGTGACCTGTTCTAAGAAGGTCCTATTTTTTAAGTTGTCTTTCAGGGTAAAATGGAAATACTATAAAGTCAGATGTCAAACTTTTAATGTTTTCAGTGTTCTCTAATTTTTAGGAGTTTTTTGTAGCCTTTACACCTGGAAAAAAAGATTTGTAAAATCACCAAAATAATTGTGTGCTTTATTTTCTAGGTAGTGGTTGTAGGTGTTACATCCCATAGTTATTGCAAGATTTATTACCGTATATTGGAGCAGATGTCTTACTAACATAAGAGTACTTAGGAAGTGAAGTCTTGTTGTGCATTTTCAACATATATCAACTGGCAATCAGAAAATGTTTACTGTGAAGAGGAATATCAACTTAGATAGCCCTTTTTGATATGTTTATTAATTCTTAATGGGGCTTGTAAGTTTGATATAAGCATAGCATCTTGATGAAATACCATTTAGCCTGCAAACCCTTTGAAAATGTAATGCCTACTTGATTTATATCTATAAAAAGGTGTCAGGTAATTATATTTGGAAAACTAATGCACTAACTTTAAAGAAATTGAAAATTCAGGTGGTTAGTCTTAACAGAAGACATGCTTTATGTTATATTATAGCTTTGGACCCATCTTTAATTGAGAAACATTTATCTGTATAAAACATATTTTTGGATAAATATATATATATATATTTGTATCTACAGAAAGGCTCTAAAAAGCATTTGAGTAAAATATTGGTTCCCTTTTCTATAGTTCTCCTTCTACCCCTTACGTTTGGTTTGTCTGCTGTCGCTCGTTACAGTACACGCAGTGCTCCGTTTGGTGTCCACGTCTTGTTCCCATCTCTCACTTCCGTCACCAGCTGAAAACTGTTCGTGCCATTTTGAATAGAAAAGCTGCGGGCCCCGGCCTGTGGCTTAAGTTGCCATGCTGCTAGAAAGTTGTGCTTTCTCTTTCCAGCTGTTAACCTAACTTCCTGGGAAAAGTAGTAGCTCTCTGTAGCATTACCAAGCATCTGTGGAACCAAATTTCTGCCATTCAAACTGGCATTATATTGAGAAATCAATCAAAATAAAAAATTTTTACTTTCAAAAGCTGTTTCCTGTCCTTCACTGTTAATGTTCATGCTATTTTAAGCATATGTTCTCATTATAATGTACTATTAAAGTCCCTATCCTTCATAAGCAAATACGCTTCCTGGTACCCAAGCAGTGGTGGCCGTCGGAAATAGTAATAGACGAGTTCCCTCCTCATCTGACTGGAACTTTTTTGAGGTATTTGCAACACTGTGTTCAATACAGTAGACTGTGTTTCAGGAAAGGAAAAAGAGAGCCTTAGTGTGTGATTAGAACTTCACAAGCCACACAAATAGACACAGTCTAGTTGTAAATTATGCACCCTGGATCCCAGCTTCCTCAGACCCTGTAGAAGGTGCCCTTGCTGCCTTCCAGTCCTGCTGAGACTGATGCTATCGGCTGGACAGAGTGAGCTGTGAGAACTGCTGTTAGCTTCTAGGCTCCAAGTGGCCTTGAACTAGCCATCCTGGGATTCACTTTCTCCCTAAAATAGTCTCTTGCCTGAGATTAGAATATAGTTGGGAATAGTCTGGTTGGAATATTCAAGGATGAAGATATTAACCACATTCCGCTAAACCTAAACAATCTTACGAAGGAAGTCCTTAGGTTCAGAACTTGTGGGCCCAGGTTGTATAGGCAATGGGAGGCTCTTGGTTGCAAAGATGTGTGTGATTAGCAAGAACCCTCGACCACTGTTATCCCTGGGGTGTTGTCAGGCATGTTCTCTGAAAAGGAGTTCTAATTGCCTACAAACGGACAACAGTGAACATGCCTTTTAAGAAGAAAAATCCCACTCACTAATCACCTGTTTGCATATTGCGAGCTTGGGTTTAAGAAGTAACCCTGGAGAAAATTCTAGGAGATAATGCTTAAGCAGATGTCACAGGAGAGCCACATTGGCATACAGCCTGTTCCATTTGAAGAGGGACTCAGAGCAGCTTTGGAGTTGTCTTAAAGTTCCCAGCCATTTACAGAAGATGGCACAGCCACGCACAGCTCCAGAGCACACAATGGAAGCGATTTACAAAGGCAATCCGGGTCTGTTTGTCCAAGAATGAGCTGCTTTACAGAAAGTTGCACCATAACTAAATGACACATTAACAAGGCTTGTTGAATGCTATTTGGGGAAAGGCTAAACCAGTTTGTCTAGCTCAACCATCTATTGAAAAGATTATTAATGTATTTATCCAACCTGCAATCAAAGTCTGAAGAGGCCAAGTCCATGACGTTCACGACCATTTATAACCTAAGTCGATCATTAAAAAAAAAAAATCTAATAGGCTTCATATTTCAACCAATTTAAGTAATAGATAAGCTCATTAGGTTCAGCTAAGTTACACTAGTAAGATTAGTTAGCCGGCACTCAAGCCTGACTCCACTAGTCAGTTCTACAAATGTCTGTCACAGCTCTCAGTGGTAAATCCTTGACTTGGAAGTTTTCAACCTTACAGTGATTCAAAAACTTACCCATCCAACCATTTTGTGTCTTCCTTTGGGGACAGTAATTAGTAAAGTCATATGAACTACTCAATGCTTTATTATAAAACAGGTCTTGTGTTAGGTGATTTTGCCCACCAGTAGGCTAGTGTAAAGCATTCCAAGGTAGGTGGGTTAAAATGCATTTTACTGTTTATAGATTTCCAGCTTGCAGTGAGGTTATTGGGATAAGGTCCCACAAGTTGAGTAATAGTAATAGAAGCTATCCCTCTGGGTAGTTCCTGTATCCAGGGCACTGACACCCTGTCCATCAAGAGTACATATGACTCTGTGTTCTTCAAATCTCTGCTTACCAGGTTGGGACCAATGTTGTGGACATTGTGAGTTGAAGTTTTACAACTTGTTGGGCATGATGCTTTGGCATGCAACTCAAGGTTCCACAGTGGCTGCTCTTAGGCCAGTATAGTGGCCAGCATCACAGCCAGTGGTTACAGCAAACCATTGGAATACTGTGACCATGTTTAACAAACACATCTCCATGAACATCAGTATCTGTCTGGAGTCTTAGAAGTATGTGGTATAACCATAAAAGCCAATCTCACGTGTAGTTTATCTAAAGGTGCTGTTAAAATGGGGATATAGTTAACGAAGCCACCGTCCCGTTGGCCAGTTCATAAAATGTCCTGAGTTTACTGCTTCTTGGAGTCACTGCCCTTCCTACTAGAAAGAAACTCCAGGTTAGAAGGACATGGCATGATATTTTACTGAGTTTGAGCTGACCTTGGAAAATGTCCTGGAAATGACATTTCAGCAAATGGGTGAGAAGGCCTGGACGGGGACCGCTTCTGTGGGATCATTCATGGTAAGAGCCCTGTGAGAGCACTTAAGAATGCAGTTTAAGTGCTAAGGACACAGGCCATTGGGACATTTGTGTAGCCTCGTTGAGGAGTTCAGTCCCCAGCACTACACGATAAAACAATGTAATTGAATTGAACTGATTTAGATCACTAATGAGCTCAAGAGCAAATAGAGTAGCCCTTTTACACATCATGCTGATGATTCAAAATCAAATAATAGTTCTTTGTAACAGGTCAGAAGACAGTGTCTATGCTGTATATACTAAATACAAGATGAATGAGAAGTAGGGTTCTAAAGAACGAATTTAGTTATCTGGGACTGGGGGTTGGAAGACTACCCAATTGGAGCGATGGGTGATTTATGTGTTTTTATATGAAGCTTTGAAAAAATGAGACTATGTATAGCTGGGTTGAACTTCGTCTTCAAAGAGACCCTTTCAGAACTGTAGCATCATCAATCATTCTCAGTAGACAGAGGGCCCGTTTCAAACCTAGAAGGAATTTCTTTGTTGATACAGTACGGTGGGTCAACTTAGTCTCCACACAGAAACCCTGGTACAAAAGAATGTGACACAGAGAGACAGCAACTTTCACTAAAGCAAAGCTTCCAGAAGAGAACATTTATAGACTGTCTACTGGCTGTCATACAGCAGCCTGCCCTTTCCTATAGCACAGCAACTTAATTTTGCATGGCCTGTGGGTTTTTTTTTTCTCCCTCTCCTTTTTATGAATAAAGAACTTTAAAAGCCATCTTGTGGAATGCAGCTTCACGTTTAAGTAATCACTGTTCTTGTTTGACTGTTTTGATGAGCACTATGTTCTAATTAGAGTACGGCTCTTGCTTAGAAGGCCACACCAATCACGCCCCATTATGTATTGCTGTAGAGTAAGTGCCCATCCGGGGCTGCTGCAATCACCACCCTGGTTTTCCACTCCGCTTCGTCCACGTCAGCGCCCCAGCCTCCAGAGGTAAGAGCAGCTGCACTGGCTGTACTCATTAACCCAGCCGTCCTTGACATTTGTTCCTTTATTTTTCCCTAATGTCACAAATCCTCCACTTCCAGCCTGCAGTGTTTTAGATTGATTACTTCAGCTGTTTGCTATGCAGAATCTGTGCTTCATCTCAAATCATGAGAGTCACAAGGCCAGAGAGAAGACCCGTGTTCTAAGCGCGCGTGGCCACAGCGTGGCCAGCATGGGGGCCAAGTTGAAAGCGCGTCAGACCTTACCTTGCTGATCTGAAAGTTTGCATTTCAGAACGATGGAAATGAGTTTCTCTTTGGTTTCCCCAGCTGCATGAACAAACAAGTTAGCATTTGCACTTGCAATTATTTTTAAGAAGTTCTTGCTGTGTAATGCATGCCAGCTTCTAAAACCTGCGGTCCACTTGCCTCAGCCACCGAAGGGCTCAGTTTGTCACCACACCTGGGAGGAACATGTTATACTAAGTTTCATTTCAGGAAAACTGCATCCTAATGGGTTCCATCCCTGATAGGCTCGCATTCCCTTTTAGCTCAGCAAGTGTCAGTTCATATCCAGACACACTCCGGCACCATCGTTCCTGGCATGTTCAAGGGAAGAAGTGGGAGAGGGACGTTCATTTTCATATCCTGTTACGTTACACAGGACCAGCCTCCTGAGAATCTCTGAAATCCCCTCCACAGCCCAAACGCCATAAACTGGGTGCCTCGTAAGCAACAGTGGAGCCTGGGAGCCCAGGATCAAGGCATGGCACATTGAGTGTTGCAGGGACCTCTTGCTATGCTCTTACCTGGGGGAAGCAGCGAGCAGCTCCATCGGGCCTCTTTGAGACTAGAATAATTCACTCACAGAACTCATGAGACCCAGTTATCTGCAAATTCCCCACCTCAGCACCATCACCCTGGGGGATTCCCACGAGTCCAGGGGTGGAGCAGAAACCACACTCAGACACAACACCGATAATATTGTTGATTCTAAAATACACTCCCTTTGTACACTGGCACATATTTCTTGGTGGTACATAAAAGAAAGATAGTTCCGATGTTTATCTGAGTGCTCTGCCCTCACGGATGTATTTGTGTTAGTGTTACAGGAAACATATATGTTCCAGATCCTCCCTCCCCTGTCAGCTCTGCCATTTCTGCCACATGAAGATGCGGCCGGAAGGTTTACCAGATGGGACCCCTAGATCTTGTGCTTCCCAGCTTCTCCAACCCAGACCCAATAACTTTCTATTTATTATGAATTACCCAACTTCACATTCTGTTAGAGCAGCACGAAACTTAACAAATTCTTAAACTGTCTGAGGTAAAACAAGAATTGCTAACATTTATTGCGAGAGTTGCCAGCCTCAGCCTTTCAAGTGCTAGCTAATCCCTCACTGACACTCTCCCTGGCACCCTATGAATATGTAGCGACCATGTTCAGCCCCCTTTTCTAACTGAGGAGTCTCAGTGGTGTCAAGTGATTGGCAAGGAGTAAAACCAGGCTTTCCAGCATAGGCATGTTTAATGCTACCTCTGCCCTTCACAAGGTCCTACTTCACAAACTATATGCTTTAGGGAGGAGACAGGGTGGGTGTGGGGGAGGGGAAGAAAGGAAAGAATAGAGAAGAGAGGATGGGAGGGGGGCTCTCTGAAAAGGGAGTAAGCCAAGAAGCCCAGGGTGAGGGTAATTTGGGCAGGAGCAGAGGGAAGAATCGTTTGTTAGAACTTAGGACAGAAAGTGCCTTGAGCCAAGGGAGATG